CTGCCATAGTAGTTGTCATGATTCCCAGCATCAGACAGGGGACTTGGTACATTCTCAAACGTTTCGCCGGTATCGCAGTCGGCCCCATCAGAATGGCAAAACTGACACATCAAACTTAATGGGCATAATGGGCTTCTTCGAAACCTACCTTTTTTCACATATGCAACATACTACTTTGCCTCACCACCCGATTTGCTTTGCAAGTAAATGTTTGCCGTTGTGGGTACCGACGAGGCAATGAGGCGAGGTCAAAGATTGTTTGACGATAAAGCGCCTCACTGACCCACTGCGGCCGAATTGTGCCAGCTCGAGAGGATGTACCCCTTCCTCTCCAGCATGCTTCATCTGCTCTTCGCGACATGTAACTCCCGTTTGCCCGTTTACAGGCAGCGATGCGTTCGGCTGGTCCATGTACGCCAACCCCGAGCGCACCTGGTTCCTGCACGCCGGGCAACACCGCGACCGCACAGACGGAGGCGTCCGTGTCACCTCGACTCGCGGCAACAAAGCTTCGGTACTCGGCGTCCGGCTCGACCTGGACCAAAGTCAGCTGGCCTACTACCTGGACGGAGAGCCGCATGGTCCGATCGCATTCACCGACCTGCACAACTCGGCCAGACTGACTCAAGTCCACGGCATCGACGCCAAATCGGCTCCGGCCTCCTCCGCCTCCGCCTCCGCGTCGGACAAGACCTCTCTCGCCGGCTCCAGCCTCACTTCGGTGCTCGTCTTTTATCCCGCCATCAGTCTCAGCCATCTGGCGCGAGTCACCTTGGTTACTGGACTTGAGCCGCCCAGCGAGAGCGAGGCCTCAAGTGAGGCCAGCCAAAGTTCGCCCGTCTCTTCGCGACACTCTTCGCCGTCGCCACCACCCTCGCGCCCGTTGTCACCCTCATGCCCAGCCTCTTCGTTTCATCCCGTCCAGCCTGGCCCCCTCGCGGTCGGCATCGGCCACACGACTAGACCGTTGGGCCTTGTCGACACGTCGTCTACTCCACTCACTGTTGCCATGGCGGCTGCGCGAAGACAGCCATCCGAGCGACATCCGACCGGTGACCGACGCCAAGGGTCTTTTGAGTCGGACATCAATCCTCTACGACACTCGGAGACTTTTGTCATGGAATCGGAGTCTCGAATTCTTCTCGCACCCTCCGACAGCCTCGGAAGTCCATCGACGCACAATCGTCTCTGCAACCAGCCCCGAGGACGTATCGTCCTCAGCCCGCCACGTCGACAACAGACAAACACAATGTCGCCTAGCAACTCCACTAGCTCCTCGATCAATTACCCTGTCTCTATGGCGTCCAACATGTGGCAAAACAGCCAACAGTCTCAACAACAACAACAGCCCCAATATCATCCTCTTGC